ATATATAATAGAGTTAACAAGGCAAAGTGATGATAACTTCTTAGCCACAGCCAAACATCCTGAGGAAGGAGTCACTAAGCCCCTGGGATTGGGACTATGGTCCCAGGGGACAGTAAGTTCAATTAGCATAACTTAACTACATAAAAGCACTGCTCTCCATCCTACTTTGGTGAGAGTGGTGACCAGGGCCTTAAAAGCTTGCAAGCGGCCATCTATATACAACAATTGGTCTCTCCTCATCCAGAGCACAGAAGAATGAAGAAAGCCAAATATGCATGGAAACAATAAATCCAAGGGACTAGTGGACTATAGTGGATTCATGCTCAGCCTACACGACCCTGAAACCAGAAGAACTAGATGGTGCCCAGCCACCACTGTCAACCACTAGGAAAGGAACCAGTGCAAGAGATCCTGGATAGAGTGAGAGAAAAATGTGGAACAAAACTCAAAATCATAAAACAGACCAGGCTTACTGGTCTGATGGAGAGTGGGGAAACCCCCAAGACTATGGCCCCTAGTCACCCTTTGGGCCTGGAACTGAACTCATTCCCATGGCTTGCAGCCAAACAACAGACAGACATATAAGGTGAACATTTACACCAGGTAGGTACACTCCTTAGAACAACCAATCATAGGAGAGCCAAATGGCAGTATTTGCATGGGGAGACAGCTCAGAGGGCAAGGATGCATAGGAAAGGACACAGGGAAAAGGTAACCACAGAGAGGAGTGGAAAGAGAGTTGTTACATTGTAGGGGAATGCAATCAATGTCATGAAACAAAATGTGTATGAACTGCTGTATGGAAAATGAGTTTGCTCTGTAGACTTTCACTCAACTCACAATTAAAAAAAAAAAAAAAAAGATTATACTTAGTAAAGGAGCTCTGGTATCTGACTGCTACCCAGAAGGCTGGTGCCACTCCTCAGAAGGAAGGTTGGGCCATCTACTTCTGTAGAGATACCACCTCGGAAACCCAAGGAGGGGTTGCTATGAGTCGGGTAAGACTCGACGGCACATAACAACAACCACAACAACGTTTAGTAAAAGAAGCTAGTTACAAAAGATCACATATTGTATTATTCTATTTATATGAAACGTCCAGAATAGGCAAATGTAGACACAGAAAAGATATTCATTATTCCCTAGGGCTAGAGGCTTGAGGAGAAATAGGGAGTGGCTGTTAATATGCACAGGGTTTCTTTTTGTGATGATGAAAATACTCTAAACTTGATTGTGGTGATGGATGCACAATTCTGTGAATAAGTTAAAAATCATTGCATTCTATACTTGCAATGGGTGAGTTACATGGTGTATGAATTATATCACAATAAAGCTGTTAAAAAAAACAAAAGGAAAATGACTGCAAATGATTTTGCTAAATTTTTCATTAACTGTTCTTTGAATTCTAAAAATAAGTCACTTAAAAGGAGTTCGTTAAAAAGGTTCATTTTCTGGGAACTTTATCCATCTGTAACAAATAATACTGTAGTTGGCTGCTTCTACTTCCGTGCAAAATAAATGAATGCATTTGGTGGCAAAAAAAAGTGAAAGGAAATATTAATAGCTTTCTCAACAGATTTTCTAGTCTTCCTCTGGACAAATAATTAAAATCGGTAACAGGAAATCACTTTAAACAGCCTAAAATCCACAAAAATGTTTCTGCCTCTTGGTTTCTTTTTTTAACTTACTTTGTGTGTGTGTGGTTTGAGAATATACACAGAACATAAACCAGTTCAATTCTACACATACAATTCAGTAACACTGACAACGTTCTTCAAATCGTGCAGCCATTCTCACCCTCCTTTTCCAAATTGTTTCTCCTCCGTTAACGTTAACTCACTGCCCTCTAATGCTTCCTATGTAACCTCTGGAGTTGCCCTTGTGAATCTGATCCCACATCAATAGAGCATAATGTTCAAGGAAGACTCAGCATGTTTTGGAGGTTCATCCATGTTGTAGCATGTATCACGTGCAGGAGTATCTGCTAATCTGATTTTACTGAGATTTCTTTTGTAAGAATGGATACTGAATTTTGTTAAAGACCTCTTCAACATCTGTGGAGATGATCATATGATTTTGAACTTTTGGTCTATGAAAACGTTGAATTACATTAATAAATTTTCAAATACTGAATCACCCTTATATACCTCAAAGAAATCCCACTACATATTATATTTTTGTGCTTTGTTGATATCAATCTCTCATAACCAACAATTGTGAAGTTTTACTTCTTTTTTATGTAATTTTATTGATTTTGTTGTTGCTGTTAATATATACTGCAAAACATACACCAATTCAAATTTCTCCATGTGCCACTCAGTGACACTGACTACATTCTTTGAATTGTACAACCATTCTTGCCCTCCTTTTCTGAGTTGTTTCTCCCCCATTAACATAAACTCCCTGTCCCCTAGGTTTCCTCTCTAATCTTTCAAGTGGTTGTTGTCAATTTGATCCCATACACAATGCTCAAGACAGACTTTCTTTACTAATTAAGCTAAACTATTGTTTTGTTTAAAGACGACTTCAGGGGATATTTTTGGTTTAAGGTTTAAAAATTATCTCAGGCCAATAGTTTTAGGGTTTCATTTAGCCTCCATGGCTCCAGAAAGCCTGGATTTAATGAAAATATGAAATTCTGTTCTACATTTCCCCCCTTTTGATGAGGATACTGCTATAGACTCTTTGATCAAAATGCTCAGTAATGGTAGCCAGGCACCATCCAGCTCTTCTGGTCTCCTGGCAAAGGAGGCTATTGTGCATGGAGGCAATCAGCCACGCATTCCATTCCCTACCTCGATTTCGGACTCTCCTTCTTCCTCTCTTTCTGCCTTTTGATTTCTTAATCACATTTCTGAGAATTAATCTCAAGAAAGTAAGAGAAACACAATAGGCAGAAGACATTTATAACAGTACTACTGTTGTAACACAAACCTCTAAATCAATGCTACCTAAAGTGTTTGTTACTGGTACATTTAAGTGTCTAAGCACATTGTTTACTCCAACCGACATCATTTTCATAGCAAAACGTTCTCAATGAAGGAAGCAGAGCGTTGACTTCCACTCTTGAGCAAGTGTCTTATTTGGTGGCTGAGGAAAACAGCTGAGTAACACTGCTCTAAAGAAACTAAATTTGCAACAATAAGGACATGGTTAGGTAACCTATGCTATAACTCAATGAAATAAAATGATAAATATAAAGGCAAGTAGATACATAAACTAATAGCAGCTAACAATTATTAAACTCTTAGTATGTGCCAGGCACTGAACAAAGTGCTTTATATACATTACCTCTTTTACCCTGGTAGCCTTTTTTGAAGACTAGGAAATAAAGCTCACAGAAGTGAGAGACTTGCTCAAGGGGCTAAAAGCTGGTTCTAAGTGTACTCGGGACTCACACCTCAGCCACGTAGGACTTCAAATCTTGATCACTATATTATACTGCCTCCAAAAGCATCCACAAATAATGTTAAGTAAAAAGACAAAACTGAATGTAAACTATGACTATGTAACTATGTATATATACATGTGGATAAAAATTTAAAGAACAAAAAATAGAAATGATTCTGTTACAGTCCACACCAGACTCACTGCCACTGAGTCGATTCGACTCACAGTGAGTGACCCTTCCGAGGCAGTATCTCTACAGAAGTAGATGGCCCAACGTTCCTTCGGAGGAATGGCTGGTAGCTCTGAACTACCAGCCTTCTGCTTAGCAGTCAAACGCCTCAGGCAAAATTTTTTAAATGTCTTTTTGTGATTTGTAACTGCTCTAATAATAAATGTAAATATAATGCAAATGGTAAATTCAAAATTATAGATAAAGTGACATTTATGAGATTTAACAACACCTCAATGAAATCTTACAAAGCAATTATGTAAGTAGTATTTTTCACTCAATTTTTAAAAAGTGGTTTGTAAGCTGTTTCCCTCGGAAGATACACTTCTAGCAGTGGTTCCCAGCATCCGAGGCCTCACGCCCGAGTTTCTGCTTCAGTGGGTACGGGGCGGGGCCCGAGAATTTGCATTTGTAACAGTTCCCAGCTGATGCTGAAGCTGCTGGTCTGGGGCCTCAGCTTTGCGAATCAGTGCTTTTAAGAATTAGCATCATCCTAAATCGAGATATTAAATGCATAAATCAGTAACAAAGTAAACTTGATACTGTTTTATAGATTACTTTAATGTGCTAAATATGACCAAATGAAAATAGGTCATTAGATGGAAACTGTAAAATAGTTCATCATTTTGACAAATACAACAATCCAGTGTTTGGTCCAATTCTTTCCCTCTTAATCAAGAGCTACAAACTTGCTAAGGAGGTGATATCATTAAATTTTTCGTATCTACCGATAATACCCGCAATCTAGGGACTCCAGTCAAAACTGACTGTTTCTAAATTGCTTAAGTGTTACACTAAGGTTCTTAGAGAATAGTCTTGCTCAGCAAACTAACAAATTTAGAATGAAGACCAGTTATAAGGTACTAAAAAGAAACCATTCATCCAAGTAGACAGCATCATAGGAAAGTAACCTCCCTGTGTCAGCTGACGCTCAGCTTCTAATAGTAAGAGTAAGGAGTAAGGAAATGCTGTTTCAGCCTTTCTAGAATAATTTGACCCCAATCAAGTTATGTATTGTCATCAATATTGCCCACAAGCATGTGGACAATTCCATAAAACATACCTATGTTTCTGACCATGATTCCTTTTAGTTCATCCACTTGGGCTTGAGTCTCCACCACTTTGTCTAGGCCCTTATTCTCGGAGTGATGTTTCTATAGGGAAATAAGGGTTAACTTATGGCACTCAGACTTTATTCACAACAGGAAACAGAACAAGAGGAGTGACAATTGACAGTGCGGAATGCTATTGATGGCAGTGGGTACTGATATAAAACACAGATGTCACTCATTAGAAAAATGTTATCAGAACTAAGAGGGAAAAAAAGGTAACAAAAAAAATGCTTCTATATGAAATAAAAGTATCATAGTATAAAAAAATAAAGGGAACTGTGAGACTCTTGGGGCAAAAGCAGAGAGTACTTCTGATAGTAGGGATGTATAGTCTACGCTCAGGCTTCTCACATCGGCTTTACAATCTAAAATGTTGATGACAATGTACACAGAAATTATCATCCACAGCTAATTAGGGAGCTCTGATAGCATAGTGGCTAAGGCACCTGACTGCTAATCAGAAGGCTGGAGGTTCAAATCCACCAGCCACTCCTCGGAAGGAAGATGGGCGAGCTACTTCCGTAGTGATACTGCCTCGGAAACCCAAGGAGGGGTCGCTATGAGTCGGGGCCGACTCAACGGCACATAACAACAACAACAACAAGCTAACAATTATGGTGTGCTTAATATACACGTTAGAAACAGACAATGCTTAGTAAAAGTGCTACAAAGAGAGGACATTTTTTAATCTACCCCAAAACTTTATAGTATGTTTACAGAGGAAAAAAACTCTGGCATAGATTTGTTCTGAGGGCTATGTAGTACTGAAGCTAATGATAACCTGGCTAAGTGGAAAGTTCTGCTGTCACTGAACCTGTTGACTTTTACCTGTGCCTTAGTGTATTTTTTTGGTGGTATTTCACAGTTTCACATATATGCGTATTTCCTAGTGGGGAGTATGAAACAAAACCAACTGCTTGAATAAAAAAGGTTTAAAACTATAACTATTTAGAGGAACTTCATTCTCAGAGGAACATATAGTTAGAAGTGTAATACTTAAAAATATTAAAAAGAATACAGAAGTGAAACGAATTCATTTACAGTAAGATTTTTTTAATGATTCACAATAAAATCCTAGCCACAGCTTATGTCTTTGCACTCAAGTAGTCTCATGGATAAAAGTTAAGTATTTTTAAAGGTGCTCACTGTCATTAGTCATCAGTGAAATCCACAATGAGAATCACTCCGCACCCACAGAATGGTGAAAAGGAAAATGATGACCTAATCAAGTACTGGCAAGGATGTAGAGAAGTGTGACCAGGTGTATAAAATGGTAGGACCACTTTGGAAAAGAGTTGGTGATTTATTATAAAATTAAACATCACTTACCATATGACTCAGCAATTCCACTCCTAGGTATTTACCCAAGAGACATAAAAACTATGTCCACACAAAGACTCATAACGTGGATCTCATAGCAGCTTTATTCATGATAGCTGAAAACTGGAACAACTCAAATATCCAGCAACATTCTGTGGTATATGCATATAATACGACTCAGAAAAAAAAAAAACAGAGCAAACTATGGATTGTGGACACAACATGGATGAATATCAAAAAACCTTTCACTGAGCAAAATAAGACACAAAGAGAACATACTGTATGACTCCATGGATATAAAACTCTAGAAAAGATTAAACTAATTTATAGTGACAGTAAACAGGTAAGTGGTTGCCTGGGAGCAGAGTGGGGGAAGGGATTGACTACCAGGGGACTTGAAGGTACTTTGAGGGCAATGGAAATATTCTCTGTCTTGCCTGGGGAGGTGTTCACGGGTGTATATGTCTATAAAACTTCACTGAGTTGACACTTAGGGATTCTTACAGATGAAAGGCATTTCAAAGGATTCATTTGAGCTGTTCAAACATTAATGTTATGAGAGGGTAGAAGGTTAATGTGTAGGTTAAAAGACCAATTGTCATGTTCAATGGATTTTAAACATTAGATGGGTAATTGAACTAGATCATCTTTAATGTTCTTCCCCATCCTGTGATACTCTGGCCACTACAAATAGAGAATATTACTGATTATTAGCTTGCCATCCTACAATTGGCCCTTTACATTTTGTTATCAGCAAAGTTTTGGTACAGTGGCTTACAAGAATTGTGTTGGTTAATGTTATCTATCAACTTGGCTAAGCCATGATTCTCAGTATTATGTAATTACTCCCCATTTTCTGATCTGATGTAAAGGGAGTTTCCTTGTGGGTGTGGTCTGCACCCAATATATATGGATATTCTGGCAGATCGCTCAATCTTGCACCCAACTCATCATCCTCTGACCTCTGGTTCTTGGCAGCCTGCCACCTGACCTACTGATTTTGGGTTCATCAGCCCCTATAATCATTAAGTCAGAAGAAGCCTCCAGTCTGACACCTGACCCATGGATCTGGGACATGCCAGCCTCCAAACTGCATGAGCCATGTCCTTGAAATAAATCTTCTTATACTTCACTGGTTTTGCTCCCCTAGAGAATCCAGCCAAAGATAGTAACACAATTAGAAAAGTTTATTGCAGGTCTGGGTCCTCTATAGTCAAGATACTTTAAGGTCATAAAGAAGAAAAATCTTACCAGCTGTGCAGCCAAGACACCCGAGAACTCGCTATTCATGGCATATGGAAGTGCTGTCTGTGCTCTTGAACCATATGTAGTTTGGAACCTCTTCTTTATCTCATTCAGAAAAGTAAAGGCTCGAGAACGTTCAAAATCCTGAAAAGAAACCAACACAGAGCTCACATTTTGAAAGCGAATGAAAGATGATGCTAATGGCTAACAACAATAAAAACAGCTACCATTTACTGAATGACTCTATGAAGTAGGAACTAGTCTTGGCCCCAGTTTACAGATAAGGAAACTAAAGCTCTGCAGAGTTAAGTAACTTTCTCAAAGTCAACACTTAGTGAATGGAAGAGCTGAGATTCAAATTCAGATATGTTTGATCACTTCCAACTGAATATGAGGATGCTTCTTGAGGGCAGGAACTGGGGTTTTTACTTCCTCCACATGTCTCATAGGATCTATTAGGTCCAGCACATGAAGACATTCCACACATCCAGAATAGACAGTCTTTCCTGTACAAAGATAATGCTACTGAGATGACCACTATTTTTTTTCAATATGATAGCACATTTTAACAGCTCACAAGTGACATGTCCTTGCCTAATCCTAGCCAGTCAAAAATTTGTTATACACATACACATATATAACAGGAGTCCCATGTACTTAGGAAAAAAAAAATTTCATTATTTTCCCCAACCTTTAACTTAGGTTTTAATTGTGAATGTACGTAACAAACCAAAGTAGTAGTAAACAGTACCCATAACTTTGTAACCAATAGAAATCCTTTTTTTTCCTATACCATCACAGTTATAGGTATCTTAAAACATCATTTACATTCACCCAATTTCAAAATGACTGTAGCTATCAGATCTATGACTAGGATCTTGTTACTTCATGTATTTACAATCACACATTACTATATTAATTTTCAAATATTTACAGTATTTTATTTCAATAACTAGTTTCCTTTATGTGTTTTATTTTATACATTTAAAAACATTCTGAGAGGGAATCATAGTGTCAAAAGGGTTAGGAACCCTGATCTATGGCAATCATGCTAATTCCATTCCCCTTGTCAGTCATCAATGAGCTCTGGTAGCATAGTGCCTAAGGTATCTGACTGCTAACCAGAGGTTGGTGGTTCAAACCTCGTGCCGCAGCCACTCTGCAGAAGCAAGACTGGGCAATCTACTTCTGTAAAGATTTACCACCTTGGAAACCCAATGGGGGTCACCGTGAGTTGGAATCAATTTGATGGTAGTGGGTTTGGTTTGGTTTTGGTTGTCAGTGATCAGTTAAGAAATTAGCATGTGACCTAATCTAGACAATTAGATATGAAATGAAGAGTCCTGTGATTAGAGACTCAAGAAGACACCATAGCTCTTCTCTAGAAGTAGATAAAGAATATGTTACTCCATGGAGCCATAAGGGGAACTGACGTAGGATGAACCTGACACTGAAGACAGCAGAGAAGGAAGCTTAATAATACCATGAAGTTATTGAACATTTTGTGTCTAGCACCCACAGATAATCAAAAACCTCATAAATAAACTTGAGGTTTGTGTAGCCAATTGTAATGCACTCTGATTTTGTTTTCCAAAGTCCATATACATTGAAGTCTTCATTACCTATTGCCTATAGGGATGAAATGATCTACTTAATTTAATATGGCAGTTAAACAAATTTTTTCAGAGGATTTGATAGTAAAAGATTGGAATTAAGAGCACTAATTATCACAGCATACTAGAAGTTGCAAGAGGTTAAGCTAAAACACTACCAAAACCTGGGTGATTTGCATATACCTAGATAAAACTCTTCTCGTCATTTGCTGTTCTATATGATAAATGCAAAGTATAGAAAAAAAAAATTCCAGCTATGGAAAGTTCTATGTACATCACCATTACCCTCCATACCAAAACTGAACCATCTGTTGCCATTAAGTCTATTTCGATCCAAAGCAACCTTATAGGACGGAATAGAACTGCCCCACAGGGTTTCCAAGGCTGTAACTCTTTACAAAAGCAGACTGTCTCATCTTTCTCTCGAGGAGTGGCTGGCAGGTTTGAAGTGCTGACCTTTCAGTTAGCAACCGACTATTTAAACATTGCGCCTCCAGGGTATAGGTAATTAAGAACTTACTGTATTAACAGTATACACAGTTAAATAGCAGTATGTATTCAAGTTACTTACATCATCAGTGATACAAAGATATACAATCCTGTCTTGGCAGATGTAATGAAACAAATAACTGTAGAATAAAAGATATAAAACTTACTGTGGTTATAAGCAACATTTCTTTCACCTCTATGTATATATAAGCAAATTCAGTACTGCCAAGGTCAGCAAATTACGTACAGATATAGTTTATACTCCCTCTCTCCCGCCCCCATACACTATTTCTCTCCAGTCAGACTGACAAGAGTAAATACGGAAGGAAAAGAAGGTCTCTACTGCAGCAACACAGCACAACTGCATGTGTATTACCCATTAATAGGAGAGCTGCCAAAGTATAACTGGACTCCTGAGGCCTGAACAAGAGGTGACATCTAAGAAAAGACATGTAATTAAGATTAATCCCCAATGGGCCCCCCCCCCGTCTTCCTTACTTTTTCCTAAGATCTTAAAGCAAACACCTTTCCTACTGAATACCTACTGACAACATCTATTTGAGTATCTCCTTTGGGTCACTTACTGTGCTAGGTGCTGAAGACAGCAAAAGAACCCTCAGTCCCTGCCTTCACAGATCACAGTACAGGAAATTTCAGTGAGCACAGTAAGTACAGTGCCAGGGGAACGGAAAGCAGTGCATGATGCTGTGACACAGCGGAGGGACCTGACGGAGGCTGGGGGAAAGGGCACAGGAAAGACGTCACAGAGCAAGTGATGTCTGAGCTGAGGACTGATGAAGGAGTGAGAGATGGCCAGGTGCAGAACGAGTGAAAATGTTTCTGAGGGAAGGACCAGTGAACACAGAGGCCTGGTAACGAGAGAACATATGGGTACAGGCAACTAAAAATTAGTTCGTATGTCTAGAGTGTACAACATATGGCACAAACAAACTGCCCAGACTCATGAGGCTGGAGACAGAAGCAAATACCAGGTTATAAAGACGTGACAAAGCACACTGTGCATTATCCTAAAAACAATGAAGGAGCACTGAAGGGTTTTAGCCTGAGGAGAATGTGACAAGATTTGCACTTTAAAAAGATGCTTTGGCTAGTGTTTTGAGTCAAAGGACCAGAGACTACTGCAGTCAAGCGGGTGAGAAACAATGACGACAGCAGGATCAGTAAAGAAGAGACAGAGATGGGTAACATTTATAGAACTTGAAAAGTGACCACTGAGGTAACAGAGCTCTACTATAAAAAGGTTTCAGCTTGGTCAACCGGGTAGATGGGGGACCTTTCGAATGATATTCTTAACCTCCACATGAAGGCCTGATATGAATTATGAGGAGGTATGAGAACTCAAGCAAAATGTCTTCCTCGGCTCGTCTGACACTGTTTCTACCCGACTCTCACGCTGTCATAGCAAATGGCTCGTTCCTTCTGGTAAGTGTTTTCTGGGGATTTCTTGACACCATGCTTGCCTGGTTTATGTCATAATTTCTTTCCCTCTATGTCGATGCCTTCCAGAATCCTTAGCCCCCTGCTTTTCTCACACATACTCCTTGAGGGTGGCATCCACTCTCACGTTTTGTTGTTGATGTTTTGTTGTCAATTATCCCCAAATATAGACCTGACCTATCTCCTAAGTTCCATGTCTATACGTACTACTTACTGTCTTTCAGACATACCAAACTCCACGTACCATCCACAGCCAACTTAAAGACAGCATGTCCAAAATGAAGGTCATCATTATTCCCACGAACTTTTTTTCTCCTAAGCCATACTTGGAGACTACAGTCATGGACAGATGTAAACACTAAAGACTGCAACTTTACCAGCGGGATGTCATTATTAGGTGCTATCAGGGCAGCTCTGACTCACAGAACGAACCCCTGCCCGGTCCTGCGCCACCATCACAATCTTTGCTTGAACCCGTCACTGCAGCTGCTGTGGAAACCCATCTCATGAAGGGGCTTCCCCTTTCACACTGACCCTACACTTTACCTAGCATGATATCCTTCTCCAGGGACCGATCCCTTCTGACAATATGACCAAAGGAGGAGAGACGAAATCTGGCCATTCTTGCTTCTAAGAAACATTCCAGCGGTACTTCCTCCAAGACAGAATTGTTTGTTCTTCAAGCAGTTCATGGTGTGTTCAATAATCTTCATCAAAACCACAACTCAAAGGCACCAATTCTTCTGTGGTCCTCCTTATTCACTGTCCAGTTCTCACATACATATGAGGCTACTGAAACAGTGGGATAAGTAGTACAATATGGATAAACAAAGGATGCTATGGAGACATACAGAAAAAGGGTGGATGTGACCTAGTCTTGGGGTTCAGGGTAACTTTCTAAAAGAGGAATCATCTAAGCTCAAGACAACAAAGTCAGATTAAAAAATAAGTGTGATTAAATAGATACAGCAAAGGGCAGGAAGAGAGAAAGAAGCTCGCACTGAACAGAAAAGAGCTAAGTCTGGCTGGAGAACCAAACTGAGAGATGGGAGCAGGGGCAGATCTGGAAGAATCTTCCAAGTCACATCAAGGAATGTGAAGAAACTTTATCCCGAGGGAAAGGAAACCTGCTGCAGGAAACACACACTAGGAACCTCACTTTTAGAAGCATGAAAGTAATAATCAATAAAGTATTATTTCATGTGGCACCTAAAAAATGAGCAAAAGTTTAGCAGGAGGCATAAGAAGGAAAGAACATTCCAAGGAGATGTACAGCTAAGTCAGGAAACAGAAAGCAGGACTATGACGATAAAGTTAGAAAGGTGGGGAATGGACCAAATTGTGAAGGGTGAGTTTGGGCATTATTCCTAAAGCAATGGGTTTTAAGCAAGAAGTAGTATTACAAGCACTGGAAATACACATTAAAGGAGGGAGCAACTAGAAGCCAGAAAGCCTGAATTAACACAGACAGTTGAGAAGGGATCAACTGAAGTATCTCTTGAAGGAACATGACAAGGACAAGATGAAGAAGTCAATATGATTCTTAAGTTTCAGGCTTAGCCAACTGAGTAGTTGATGAGCCTGTTAAAGAAAGGAGGAACAAGAGGATGGCCAAATTTCTGGGGGGAGGTGATGTTTAACTGTGCACATACCAAGTCTGAAGTATCCATAAGGCATTCCCATGAATGTGTTTCCATTGTAGCAGTTTAGTAATATGGATATGTCATACATTAGTGAAGTCATGATTAGAAATATAGATTCAGAAGTTAACATTCAGTGGAAGCAGTTTCATTCCAACGGTGGGGATGGAAGGCAGGATGTTGAGGCAAAAAGTATTAGCTCCTCTTGTAAGTTTGGAGATGAAGAAAGGGAGTCAAAGTCCAAATCAAACCCACTACCGTGGAGTTCATTCTGACTCACAGAGCCCCTAGACGACAGAGTGGAACTGCCCCACAGGGCCTGCAAGGCTGTCAATCTTTACAGAAGCAAACTCCAAACCAAACCCACTGCCATGGAGTCAATTCCAACTCAAAGCGCCCCTAGGGTACAGAGTGGAACTGGCCCACGGGGCTTCCTAGGCTGTCAGTCTGCACAGAAGCAAAGCCCAAACCACACCCACTGCTGTGGAATCGATTCCGACTCATAGCACCCCAAGAGGACAGAGTGGAAGTGCTCCACAGGGTTTCCAAGGCTGTAAATGTTTATGGAAGCAGACTAATTCGTCTTTCTCCAACAGAGAAGTTGGTGGGTTCAAACCAGCAACGTTTTGCTTTGTTTTAACCACTGCACCACCAGAACTCCTTGAAGAAGAATGGGGGTTAATCAGGTAGGGAAAAAAAAAACTTGAAGAGATGACTGAGGCAATTAAAAAAAGATAATTTTTCATTTTGTTTTTTTAATTTTCATACAGTAAAATGGACTCTTTTCTGTTGGTGTATGGCAAGAAAAGATATTTCTGACTGGTACAATGGAACATGATTATTGGAGAAAAACCAAGGGTTGGGTTTGGTTGGTTTTGAGCTAATATTAGGATTAGAGGGTGCAAGAGAGAACTGGGGGAGGGCCCAGACTGCTCACATCTCTTTATGTGTCGCTGCTTGCTCTGCTCATTTGTATGGACTGAACTATTCCCCTGACCAAGTGTGGAAGTCTTGGAAATTGGGTTTTTCTTGCTATGTTACTGAGGTTATACCAGAGTAGAACTCAAGGCAACTCAACTCACTGCCGTTGAGTCGGATCCGACTCAAAGCAACCCCTCCTTGGGTTTCCGAGGTGTCATCTCTATAGGAGTAGATTGTCCAACCTTCCTTCCGAGGAGTGGCCGGTGGGTTTGAACCGCCAGCCTTCTGGTTAGCATCACATGCCTTAGGCACTGTGCCACCTGAGCTCCTTATACCAAAGTAGAGTAGGTCCTAAACATAGTCACTTTTGAGTTAGAAAATGAGCAGAACATAGGCAGAGACTTATGGGGGAAGAGAAATGCCACATGGGGACACAACCACAATCACTGGCAGACACCAGAAACTAGGAGAGAGGCCCACAGAAGGAAGAGACATGGCCCAGACCCTGATTTGGACTTTCAGCCTCCAGAACTGTGAAAAAATACATTTCTGCTCTTCAAAGCCACCCACTTGTGGTATTTCTGTTATGGCAGCCCTAGGAAACTGAGATAGCCTTTTCTGGTGACTGACTAGATACACATAGACCATAAGCCTAATAAGTTTTGGGAGAAATGACAAAGCCATATCTACAGGAGTCTGTGATTGTGCAACTCTGAAAGGAGCCTCTAAGCCCCCAAACCTGTACTATTCCCAAAGATGACATACTCTCCAACACCCCTTTCAGGTACAGCCAGAGATAGTAATGAACCAGGAAGAACCTTCCAGAGAGCAAAGCAAAGGTCAGGGTGAAAAGTCAGGGAGCTTTTCCAAACCACTAACCAGTCTACAGTCCCAGCAGGCAGTCTCTGAAGCTGCTGCAAAGCAGTTCTTTGATCACTGCTGGTAATCAGTGACTTCTACATGTTCCACATTCTTCCCCTTTCCAAATGGGAGTTTTTAACGGTGGTGACCCTGTTCCTACTCATCCTGTTCTTAGGCCACCATTGTCTATTGAGCTGGGCTAGGGAGCAGCAGAAAAGATGACTTATATTTTAGTTTATGGTCAGTGTGCCACACAGGAGTCACCGGATGGTCAGACATAGAAGCCACTAACTGAGCATGGCCAAAAACCAAACGCACTGGCACTGAGTAGATTCCAAATCAAAGCAACCCCCATTGGGTTTCCAAGGCTATAAATCTTTACGGACGTCGATTGTCTCCTGTTCCTCCCGAGGAGTGGCTGGTGGGTTTGCACTGCCAACCTTCTGGTTAGCGGCCAAGTGCCTTATGCACTGCACCCCCAGAGCTCCTTACTGAGAATGGCAGAGCAATGCCATTAGCACTAAACCACTCATCTCTGCACTATCTCTTAAACCACTATATTTTGGGAATTCTTTTTTACAGTAGCTTGAACTGTACTCTAACTTATACCAGGTATTAGCCCTAGAGTGTACTAAGGACCTTCTTCTGAGACAAGACATAAATAAAGAATGATGGGTTAAGTAACACATTCATAAGTCAGTGTGAGGAAGACTGAGGGACTTTTTTATCTGATTCCTAACATTTCCCATCGATGCTCTCTCCAATTCATTCTCCAACCAGCCACCAGAGGGAGCTTTCTAAAGCAAAACCCGACCTCGTCAAAGTCTGGCTGAACACGTTCAGTGCCTTCCCACTGCCTTCAGGATAAAGGCCAACCCCTTATGACTTCTCTCTACCCACATCTCTTTCTCTCTCTCACCAACCTGGGCACCGGCCATAGAGAACAACTGCATCTCCCTAAACAGACCCTATAATCTCTCGACTCCATACCTCTCTATCTGCTTTTCCTTCTACCTGGAATTCTATCCTCCTAACCACTACCTCCCACCTGCCACTCTAATTACCTATGGTTCTGTCTCCCTCTCAACTATAACCTCTATGTGGGCAAATACTGATCCTTGTATCCCCAGCACCAAGCAAGGTGTCTAGCAATAGGGAAATATTTACTGAAGGGACGAACAAAGGAGCATAATTTATCTTACCTGTATCAAGTTTTACATAGCCTAGAGCCCTATAGCAAAATTAGTTTTACACATAATGTTTCTATGTATTTCTTTGAAATAAATTATTATTACTTTAATGATGGAACATAAGAATCACAAATTAAATTTATAATGAACAAAAACAGATGTTTTCTAAGCTGGTAAAGGTTACTGTTCTGTGAACTTATTCAAATTATCTACCATGTTTTCTTTCCCCTTCTACCACATGCAAAGCAGAACTCACTTGCCATGTGAGTATGTTAGTTTGTTATTTTCAGAAGGTATCTTAGCCAGAATCTGCTCTGTCACCTCCAGGAAGTTTCCGCCACACCAAGCATGTTTGGCAAGGATAGTGGTTCCCCTGGCAACAACAGCAAATAGAATGGCCATAGCTTCAATCTATGAAAAGGAAAAAAGACACACAAGATTTAGAATATTTATTTGACATAATCTTTCAAAAGTAACATGCTATCATTTATTAACATTACCTGGAGATAGTACTGAACATCTCCAATAGCTTACTAACTTACGCTGGATATGCATGCGTATTTCTGTTACTGTTGTTAGTTTCCGTGGAGTCAACTCCGACTCCTGGGGACCCCAGGTGTGCAGAGTAGAACTGCACCCCATGGGTTTTCACGGCTGGGACCTTTTGGAAGCACGTCGCCAAGCCTTACTGCCGAGGCACCTCTAGGTGGATGTGAACCACCACGCTTTTGCTAAAGGGCTCTTTCGGCTAATAGTCGAGCCCAACGCCTAACCATTTGCGCCACTCAGGGACGTCCACATATGTATAGAGACATAAAAATATGATATTAAACTCACATATACATCACACTAGTAGACAGCATTTATAAATTATACAGTACAAATTGATAGAATCCTTTTGAGAGGCAATGGCCATATATGGCAAAGGGATTTAAAGTCTTTATCCTTTGAAGGAGGGTTGGGCAATCCTACTTCCGTAGCGATACTGCCTCGGAAACCCAAGGAGGGGTCGCTATGAGTCGGGGCCGACTTGACGGCACATAACAACAACAACAACATCCTTTAACCCACTG